TGATCAGTGTTTCAGAAACCGGGCGTACCTATATCTTTTAACCGAATGTATTCCCCATGTTTAGAAAGTTGCAATTACCACTGTATAGGATTGTACCTGGCAACTCCGTTCCGGTAACACACTCGTAAGTATGCATTAACGTAATATTCTCCTGTATTGACTTTTCCTTAAGAAAATTTAAGGAAAGCTCCAACAGAAAATTATGCAATAATTTCTATTATTTACGCGATTATACATTATAAATGAAACTAATTTTTACGGATTTATCGCGTTTTTTTTTTTTTTCATTTTAATTCCCGACGTTTCGAACCCTTTACAGCGTTCGGCGTCACGGGATAGACATTATGCAGTAAATATATGATTTGAACAGGTCCAATGCACAGTTTTACCGTATGTTGTTAATATTTTTAAAAGATTGTTTTCAGGGAAATCGCGGTGATAGCGGGTGTTCGACAACCCTAATAAAGACGAAACAAGTGCGTCGCCTATGTTGACGTAAGCGTGCAGGTGCGCCGGTACCGCCTGGCGCCAGTGATTTCCAGCCGAACGAACATTTTTTTTAATACCAAAATCTAGCCCGTATCACGTAACAGCGGCTGTATTGTGTATTAATAATAGTACCCGGAGGACCGAGCTTTGCTCGGTTTGTTTTTTTTTTTTTTTTTTTGGTAAATCGTGTATTTTGGAAATTACATTTAGATACAAATTATTGAGTAATGAAATATTCATAATATTTTTCGATCTTACCGACGTAATAATAAGAAAATATGAACTTGTTATATGTAAAATGAAAATATGTATGAACAAAAGAAAGAACTTTAAAAAAAAGGGAAAAACATAACAAAATAACAAATCAACAAAAAATTAAAAATAAAGAAAGCAATGATCTGGAATCGAAAAAAAGTAAAAAAATAAATGTGTAAATGATCGTGACGCGAACCACGGAAGTCTGTTTTGGGGCCGCCCGATTACCGACCGAGCTATTATGACATTTTCTCTTGCGGCGAAATTTACCGTCATATTCGAATTATATTTTTCATTCCCTGAAATAAAATAAAAGAAAACAGGGATAAAAGGGCATTTTCTAAAAATGAAACCTAGCTAGATCCATTTTTTGCCCCCGAATCTACGCACATCGTAATTTCATGAAAATCGCTGGAGCCGTTTCCGAGATTCCGATTATATATATATATATATATACAAGAATTGGTCGTTTAAAGGATAAGATGATGGCACTGGATTTATCGAATTACCCATGACAGTATCGTTTTATTTTATATTTAAAGGGGAACGACTGGCGATCCTTTTCTCACGAGCTAGGTATATCTATTTGACTAACTTGCCAATGTTATATTTACAGCTTCCAACAGGCAAAAACTTGAAACGGAATCGAACTTAGGTCTTGAGTGTGTCGTTTTTTTTTTATCTCTCCATATTTTAAACCAAATCCACTTTTCATTTGGTATTGATTCGTGTCCCGACATAAATGAAGTATTTAATTATTGACGTTTACCAATAATTGCATTCAGTAACGTGTTAAATACAAAAGTTGTTTAATTGAATTCATATTTACGATCGTGGTACGTAATAAAACATATTAATTGACTACTACAGCATTAACGCATCAGTCTATAAATGTGCAATAATCGTGACAGATAGAAAAACCCATGATAAGGTTTAAAAACATTTCAATAAGACAAAGGAACTTAAAACAAATCAACGCTATCAACAAGAAAAACAACAAGAATTAAAGAATATATTACAGTTATATGTAAATTTTCGTTTCGCGTTCTTCCCATGCTGCCTTTAAAAATTAAAGACTGCATTTGCATTAACAGATTGAGTTAAATAAATATTGAACCTAATTTATCAATTTACAACAATAACAACAAATACATTTACAACCTAAATTACCTTACCACTTACAACCTTAATTACTTACCTACATTCACAACCTAAGAAAAATTTTGTAGTCGATTTGATAATCGATATAAAATTGAAACAAAAAATTGTGTGTAGAATTTAATATTTCATTTGGCGTAGTTGTTAATGAATTATTTTTATATTTGCGCTATTGTTAAATTGTTTGCTATAAATATTCGAAATTGTAGATAATGCGTGTGTACCTAACCTATATCACTGTATCTATCAACAAAGTAAAAACATAAGTTACCATTTTCATGTAATGAATGTGTGGAACACGGAATAACGGTGAAATTTTTCAGTGTAAAATTAAAAGATTTGATTATTTTTTATCTCTTAAAATTTGGCAGTTGCAAATACTTTTAAGCGATTCACGTACGCAGCAGTAAGAGAAATACCATATTTAAGTTCCCGAAGTAAATAGATATAAGTACATACATTTTTTTATGGAAGGCTATAATTATAATGTATGTTGCTGTTACATATTTTCACAGGCAAACGTGTCTGACTTTTTAACTTGAAAATTGGGCAATTAACTCTGGTAACAAATAATGTAAGAATCTAAAAATAAATATAGCATATGATTGATTTGGCACATCTTGAAGAAAATATGCCCAAACGTCATACTTTCATAATAATATTATAGCATACTAAACATTTAAGCATATTATGCTTAAATGTTTAGTATGTGCTTTATGTTAGCTACTCTATTTACTTTAATATTCGATTCCTATTGAACTAAATCTAAATTATATCTTATTGACAGTAAATAAGCGTAGTCGTTTGTGACAAAAACATGAAGTTAACTCTTTTAGAGCCGTGATAGCTCATTGTCCGGGTGCTCGCTTTTAATTCAACATACTCGAGCAACCCGAGTTCGATACTTCCAATCCGTGGCTCCAATGAAATTGCTAATTCATTAGGATTAACAATTTTATTGGCGCCGGATTTCATCGGCAGCACTTATGCTGAAATATCACGCGTTCAACGGTGAAGGATATCGAGAGGAAACCTACATATTTCCGAAATAATAACAAATTTTAATTGTTATAAATCGTTAATTTGTTTCTCGTTTGTCCTTAATTAATCATTTCGTCGTGATTAATTGTTTTCCGTTATTGTTTATGAACGATAAAATAGAATTTCGCCTTTTTTTGCTCCCCCAAATCCAATTCATAATTTTGGTATGATATAACTCTAACATGAAAATTGGGTTATTTAAGGGTTTTGTTAGGTTTCATTAAAATTTAAAAACTGAAAAGCCGTTCTAGACGGTTTTTATTATTACGAATCTGAGACATTTAACGCCATCTGTTGTTGAAGAGTTGCTGTTTTAAGCTTGTTTGTTTAACATAAGAAAAGCATGACAAGTAGTTCCATCTATAGGTCAATAGTCGATACTAGTAACGTTTACGTTAAAGCTTTCTACCGTAGTTAAGGGTTGATTCGGATATCTATCGATGTTATATTATGTAGAATTCATTTATTTGTTTGTTTATAATGGACAATATCTGGAACGTGGAACCACCTGCCACTTGTATTCGGCTTCCCGCACACTTTTAGTGTCGTCACGCCATCTAGTGGTGTTTATCCTACACTACTTTTTACAATAGTTACATTAAACCTTTACAGGTAAACGCAAGATTACATGCAGTTTTATTCAAATTAAAGTATTTTATTTTGAAAATACTGTCTTTGTAAATCAAGTTAGGCATAACATTTTTAATATCACATATCCTGTATACTTATATATGAGAGCCGTGATAGCTCAGTGTCCGGACGCTCGCCTTTAATTCTCAAAATACTCGAGCAACCCGAGTTCGATCCCGGTGCCGGCACCAATGAAATACGCTTCTTTTAAGTGCTGAATTATCACGTGCTCAGCGGTGAAGCAAAACATCATGAGGAAACCTGCATATCTTCGAAATAATAAAAAATATTTCGAAGATGTGTGAAGTCCGCTAGTCTGCAGTGGGTCCGTGTGGAGGACTATGCCCCGATACTCCTCTGTACAGAGGAGGCCTTTGCCCAGCAGTTGGACATGTATAGGATACTTTACTTTTTAATTTTATAGTCTGTATCTCTTTCAGAAATATATATTCACTTTTAGTCCATAAGCTAGTTGGTCAGCGTACAATATTAAATATTTATGATTTGATGAGTCCGTGGCGCAATTGCCAAGGTATTGGCTTCGGCGTCGGGGGTCGTGGGTTCGATTCCCACACGGGACAACTATATGTGCGATACACAGATAGTTCTTTCGCATCTGGGTGTTTGTCCATGTGAAATTTATGTTTGTAAAAACGTTTTAACACAGGATAATGTTATCCTAAAGTGAGGGCAATGTTTTTTTTATAAATAAAAAAAAATATGGCAATTTTAATATGAACGCCCCGCAGAACTTTTAATGACGTTGAAATAAAACAATAAAAAGTTGACTATTAAGGATACAGAAAAATCAAGAGGTATTTAATCAATTAATCGATCCGATTTCTCCTGGTGAAACAACAAAAAGTGGATGTTGTTAATCATGGACATGGTTTTATACATACTTTGGTAGGGGCATGCAAAAGCTGGTGTTTCACGAATGGGAAGGCGCCTCCAGAACATACAGTAGCATACAATATCTCATACATGCAGTACATAGAGTAATCTCCACATACATACAGCATCTCACAGAAGACTGGCCTGAACTGGAAGCACTAAACTTTCGCGTTTCGTCTGATGAGTGAGCCGGGACCCACTTTTTCATTAATTGTCAACGTATCTGCAAGCTGAGTATTGCAGATGTCCATAGTCGGTATACACCTAACATCAGGTCGACCACATGCTCAATAGACAACTTTTCACATAAAAAACACTATGATCATAAAGAAGATCCCAAATGAACATATAGTTCTAATTGCGCATAAGCATCTATGAAATCAACATTGACAAGACTTGGACTTTTTCATGGATCACACAAACACTCGATCAAGTTGTGATATATTCCAGCCATAAACATTTAAGAGGGGTGAAGAGTGAAAATAAAACTCAGCGTTAAAATGTAATAAATAGTTTACTTACACCGCGCACTATAACGTTAAAGCTCCAAATATTGGAAACGTGTCACTGGGCTTGCTCAGTCTGTATCTAAACCTATTCAAGAGGCCGCTGGCGACGATCACATCGTTTCTCCTACTCACACTCGGATTCGGTTCCGAGCTCGGCTTTTGTATCTCCTTCGAGCGGCAGTTCTTCAGCTTGATGGTGATGCGGCGCGGCTTGCGTAGCGTCAAGCTTGTCGCCTCGAAGGCGGCGTCCCGGTGGAGGGGGGGGCGCGACGATCTTGTCACCGGCAGAAGTCTTGCTTTGGGCCGTTTCACGACAGGCCTAACTGGGGGATAGGTGAACTCCTCCTCAGGCGTCTTCTCGCCGGCCGTTTCTTCGCTTGGGACGGATTCTGCGAAGCGAAAAGTAATAAAAATTATAAAGAAATATGATATCAGTCAGATAATAAAATTTCTCGTCATCAATCAAGTTGATCTTTCGAGCCGGATTATTTTTAAACCCCTGGTCCGTTAGTTTTTTGAAGCCGAATTTCACATAGGCCTTTTTCTGTATCAGGGGAAATCTTCAAAAGATACCCTGTCGCCTTCCAGGGTTTTGTGGGGTTTCTACCCACTTCCAAGCCTCCCTAGTGGCCACCTTCTGTACGTTTATCCCTCCAAATCTTCCGGGATCGCCTACGGAACGCTCCTGTCCCTCGGATCTGCGCGTGACCACGCCTCGGAGGATAGACCCCCCCCGATTCCCTCGCCATCTTGGCAGCAGCTCGAAGTGGCCTCGAGCTGCTGCCAATCCGTGTCCCCTTTTACGACAGGCAGGGGATACCTTAGCCCTATTCTATAAGCCCGAGACTACAGGGCTGAAGGGGCGGCACGTGCGTTTCTGCCGGCCCGGCGCCTTCGTCTCCGAGCGGGGTCAGCCCTCTCCCGTTCTCGCTCAGCGATCTCCTTCTAGGGCATAAAAGCTTCGCAGAAGGAGACCAGTACCGTCCAAGCAGATTTCTCACACCAGCCGCAGTGGCGGCTGATGGAGAAAAGTCCGATCATTTGGACCAGGATCCGACGCTCTGATGCGGGGCACTCAGTAAACGTGTGCTGCGCTGAGTCCCGGTCCCCACCACAATGGTGGCATTGCGTTGTCGGCTCGCGTCCAATTTTGTTTAAGTACTCACCAAAGCATCCGTGCTCGGTGAGTACATTCATCAGCCGAAAGGTGACGTGCGCAAATCCCCTCGCACTGAGCCAGTGGCCAGGTCCGCGGTTATCCCAAGAGCTCGCGCTAAACGCCTTTATACGCTCCTGCTCACGCACTTCTCCCGCACCCAGGGGCTCGGCATCATCCTGAGGTGGTCGGAGGCGAGTATAAACTCGCGCATCCATCTCCGCCAGGATGTCCAGTGGTGAAAACCGAGCTAGGATAGTGGCCGCCTCGAAGGGTATCGTTCGGTACCCTCGTGCGATCCTGAGGGCTATTCTGTCTATTAGTCGGTGAGACCATAGAGGGCCATCGATCCTCGCATAGATGCGGCGAACTCCTTCCCTGGGGCCCTCGCATGCATGCATGGCAGCTACTACCTTTTCAATTCGGGGAGCCAAGCGAATGAAGTGCTCTTCGAAGACCCGGCGACTATCCAGAGTGAGTCCAAGAGATGTCATCACTGGCCCCACCTGGATCTGCACGAATGCATGGGAATCGACCAGCTGGGTGGATTCCGTCCCCTTGGGAGTTTGTGGAACCAAAGCGCCACGGTTGTATGGGGCGCTATCTGAAGACCCAGATCGTGGTTTTTACCCCATGCCACCCCAGCTCAGCGAGCCGACTGACTCTCTCGAAGCTATCCCCTTCGGCAATTACGAGAATGTCATCTGAATAGCAAATAACACTTACACCGATGGGGAGACAGTACGCAGGACTGCATCATAAGCAAGGTTAAAAGTAATGGCCCTAAAACGGATCCTTGGGAAACCCGCGCATCACCCCCTCTCTGATGTACTAGCGAGTCTCGACACACGTACTGAATACACCTGCCGTGCAACTACGCCCCGATAATGCGCTGCAGATAATACGCCCGATAATGCGGGTCAGTGTTTCCCTAATTGTACGCTAGGGTAATGAATTGAAGGCCAATACGATATCTAAGCTTACCGCTAATACTACACCACCCTGTGTAACGGCCCGCTCCGACTGCTATCGGACGCAAAGTCCACGAAAATCCACAGTCAACCGCGTCTGCCTAAAGCCATACTGAATATCCTATAGGTCGGGGCCTAACCAACGAATGTGCCTTTTGGTGCGGCCGGCAATAATTCTTTCAATTGGTTTGCCATCCAGCAAACAAATGGGTCGGAACGCAGAAGGAGCTGCTGGAAGAGAACTCTTTTTAGGGTTAAGCTCGCCTTTGTACATGTTTTTGTCATTTGTTCCGAATGTCTGTATTTTAATTGTGTACAATAAAGAAAAAAAAAATGAGCGTCTGTAGTTCTACCATACTTCATCAAGAGCACCGATCTGGCCTCCTTCCAGCCTGAGGGAAAAACACCCACGCCAAGGCAGCTGTTGAAAAGTCACCTAAGCCTCCAGTCCGGCGGCGAGAGCTAACACGGTGGGTGTTATCCCTCGCCGCCGGACTGGGGCCCGACCATGAATATCATCAGGACAAGGTGCGGTGTTACGGCTCCTAAGCCGCCTGATGGCCCGTTCCATCTCCTATTCAGTGACTCCCATATCATCAGACCAGACGGTCCTGGTTCAACATTATTGTGGCAGGCTCTGGGTTTTCCTGAATCAGAGGAAAGAGCGTATCAATCACTCTTCCCACTCAAGTTGGATCCATAGTCTCCGTCAGTGGAAGGACCCGTGGTCGGAGCTTGGCCAATGCAATCTTGTACGGGCGCCCCCATGGACCCCTATCCAGACTCTTGAGGAGTTCACTCCAAGACCGATCTTTGGCTTCCTCGATCGCCTTTTTGAGTGGTTTTGTGGCGCATCTATAAGCTTCGTATGCTCTCGCTTCTTCCTCGGCTGTAGTCCGCCTCTTCTTCAGCACCTGGAATGCGAGTAGGCAAACAGATTTCTCTCTGCCGAGCGATGGCTTCCGACCACCAGTACACTGCCCTTAGCCTGAAAGACCCGGTTCGAGGCATCGGCACATTGACGTCATCGTAGCCCGAAACCAGGCCGCTTCCTCTTCAGGATCGGGGAAGACTATCAGAGTGTGCCTTCGGCCATGCCACGACGATGGCTGCAGCCGCTTGAGGGACCAATGTCGCGGATTGCATTGGTGGGTGGGTACCACTAATTGGTGGGCAGAGTGCCACATCAAGTACGATATGGCAATGGTCAGATAGGATGACCATTTACTCCACTCCTCTCCATCCCGTCATTATGGGAGTGGCAGAAGAAGTGGCCCACGACATGCCCACAATCGATTCCCCTGCCACCGCCCACATGTACTCACAGATAAGGGTTCTGTGAATGATTTAAGAGTCAAGTCAAGTCAAGTCAGGTCAAGTCCTGCCACCCACCCCTGCAAGGATTCTCTCTTTGGATTGTTCCGGGTGGATCCCCATGATCTAGAATGAGCGTTCACAAAATCCTATATCACCGTTACAAAAGCTAAGGTATTGCTTTTTTATATGTGAATGTGTAAAGCGAGCTGTTGTTAACCGAGCGATAACCCCCACTTAGGACATTTGCAAAACCTATAGAGTTGAAGTTGCTTTGCCATCTTATAATAAAGTGGGCCCTGGCTACCTCACTCAACAGACGAAGCGCAGAAGTATGACACTTTCACTTGCACGCTGATATTCTGTGAGGTTGTGGTACTTACCGGGACGGACCTGCCCAATCTTGCAACAGCCGAAGCTGTTGCATTGCCTTACACAGGCGGTGTGGCAATCACCCGTTCAGCTTAGTGGCTAAGGCGTCAGGCCGCGAATGCCGAAGACGTGAGTTCGATTCCCACAGCGGCGACAATCTTTTCGTACCTTTTCTACAAATTTCAATGTTTAATCCTAAGTGGAGAGATTAGCACTATAAAAAATTTAAATTTATAAACAGTAAAAAAAGACTAAATGGGCTGTATCCATTCTTAAACGTACCTTTATATGGGAAGAGGGTGCGCCTTGGCATAATGGAGTCGCCGAGCATTTCGTACAGTGTGTAGTCCGTCATTACGAAATCTTCCAAGTAAGTCGTGGGCTCCGACCTCAGCAAACACGTGGAGGCGTCCTGCGAACGAATACGATTCCCAGCATGTATTTTACTGAAGCCTCAAAGCACTGACGCCTATATATTTTTGAAGTTACTACATCTTTGGGGGCGTTTTCACGTTCGGATAAAAATATGAGAGTAAAATTTTTACGATGCGACATGATGACGCCATGGTTGCCATGGTAATGCCGTTGGTATTGCCATGGCAACCATGGACGCAATATCAACTTGATAATTATAATATTATTCTATTATTATGTATATAATATAAATGTATTATATTAACTACATGCAATGCATGTAACGTCATTACGCTAAAGAAGTATAATTTCTTAGGTGCGCATGCACATAAGTACACACCTACTTTTTTTTTATTGTAAACGACAATTGCGAACATATTTGCAAGTTGTGAAGCGATTATAGATAGCACGGAAATAAATATTGGTAACAGGACTTCACTTTAGAACCCTACCGTAAAGCGATGCTACTCTGTAATAAGTAATGCAATATTTATATCTAGATCTAGCAAGCTCCATTATACTTCTATTGTTCGGCGGTCCGGTATCAATACAATAGAACGACGTACAAATATATAAATAGGATCTAAAGTTGTTACACTCTGCGGGAAACTCTGATAGAATGCGAAAGAAAGCCACATACAAATTTCAACAATAAAATGACTCATGCTCATCTCCAATCTGAATTAAACAAATTAGACATTAACGGCATGGAGTCCTGTCGAAAATCAATCAAAACTAAAAATGCAATCTAATGCACCTACCAATTAAACTATTTGGTTATGTGAAGTTGGCATCTGTTCTGCTAATTCCAAGGTACAGTAGCCGACATTTAATCTAATATTAGATTATATTCATTTTTTTTTATTTTTAGAAGCATCTGGCAAAAGTCAACCCAACAAAAAGGTTTATTAAAGACTTCCCGAAAAAGGATAAGGAACAGCTTCTACTGTTGACCCGACCAGGTTCCCGCCTTGGCGTGACGGAGGGGCTTAGTAGCCGTGGCTTGGTCACGTACGGTGAAGCTGAAGAGGTGAAGGCGGCCCCAGAGTGCCGCTCCGAGGCGTGGCCGCTCTCACTATCTTCCGCCACCCAGTGGGGCTGCACCGCTGATGCAGTGGTGGTGGGGAAGAGGAGTGTCAGTATTGCGATGCGCCGTTTTTCCTACCCTCCCCGGCCGAAACCACAGACCAGGTCCGCCGCTGAGGCTGGGTGGCTTGCTGCATATTGCATCGGCTCGCGTGCACCAGCGTCTCCAAGACTTGCCACGGTGCAAGCAAACATCGCCCCAACGCCCAATGAGAATAGAGGCCATTGTCCACTCACGAGCAGAGTCTCCAACACTTGCCGCGGTGCAAGCAAACATCGCCCCAACGCCCAATGAGAATAGAGGCCATTTGTCCACTCACGAGCAGAGTCTCCAACACTTGCCGCGGTGCAAGCAAACATCGCCCCAATGCCCAATAAGAATAGAGGCCATTGTCCACTCACGAGCAGCGTCTCCAACACTTGCCGCGGTGCAAGCAAACATCCATCGCCCCAACGCCCAATGAGAATAGGGGCCATTGTCCACTCACGAGCAGCGTCTCGCGGAGGTGCGGCGAGTGCACCAGCGTCTCCAACACTTGCCACGGTGCAAGCAAACATCGCCCCAACGCCCAATGAGAATAGAGGCCATTGTCCACTCACGAGCAGCGTCTCCAACACTTGCCGCGGTGCAAGCAAACATCGCCCCAACGCCCAATGAGAATAGGGGCCATTGTCCACTCACGAGCAGCGTCTCGCGGAGGTGCGGCGAGTGCACCAGCGTCTCCAACACTTGCCGCGGTGCAAGCAAACATCGCCCCAACGCCCAATGAGAATAGAGGCCATTGTCCACTCACGAGCAGCGTCTCCAACACTTGCCGCGGTGCAAGCAAACATCGCCACAACGCCCAATGAGAATAGGGGCCATTTGTCCACTCACGAGCAGAGTCTCCAACACTTGCCGCGGTGCAAGCAAACATCGCCCCAATGCCCAATAAGAATAGAGGCCATTGTCCACTCACGAGCAGCGTCTCCAACACTTGCCGCGGTGCAAGCAAACATCGCCCCAACGCCCAATGAGAATAGGGGCCATTGTCCACTCACGAGCAGCGTCTCGCGGAGGTGCGGCGAGTGCACCAGCGTCTCCAACACTTGCCGCGGTGCAAGCAAACATCGCCCCAACGCCCAATGAGAATAGAGGCCATTGTCCACTCACGAGCAGCGTCTCCAACACTTGCCGCGGTACAAGCAAACATCGACCCAACGCCCAATGAGAATAGAAGCCATTGTCCACTCACGAGCAGCGTCTCCAACACTTGCCGCGGTGCAAGCAAACATCGCCCCAACGTCCAATGAGAATAGAGGCCATTGTCCACTCACGAGCAGCGTCTCCAATACTTGCCGATCCAAGCAAACATCGCCCCAACGCCCAATAAGAATAGAGGCCATTGTCCACTCACGAGCAGCGTCTCGCGGAAGTGCGGCGAGTGCACCAGCGTCTCCAACACTTGCCGCGGTGCAAGCAAACATCGCCCCAACGTCCAATGAGAATAGAGGCCATTGTCCACTCACGAGCAGCGTCTCCAACGCTTGCCGATCCAAGCAAACATCGCCCCAACGCCCAATAAGAATAGAGGCCATTGTCCACTCACGAGCAGCGTCTCGCGGAGGTGCGGCGAGTGCACCAGCGTCTCCAACACTTGCCACGGTGCAAGCAAACATCGCCCCAACGCCCAATGAGAATAGAGGCCATTGTCCACTCACGAGCAGCGTCTCCAACACTTGCCGCGGTGCAAGCAAACATCGCCACAACGCCCAATGAGAATAGGGGCCATTTGTCCACTCACGAGCAGAGTCTCCAACACTTGCCGCGGTGCAAGCAAACATCGCCCCAATGCCCAATAAGAATAGAGGCCATTGTCCACTCACGAGCAGCGTCTCCAACACTTGCCGCGGTGCAAGCAAACATCGCCCCAACGCCCAATGAGAATAGGGGCCATTGTCCACTCACGAGCAGCGTCTCGCGGAGGTGCGGCGAGTGCACCAGCGTCTCCAACACTTGCCGCGGTGCAAGCAAACATCGCCCCAACGCCCAATGAGAATAGAGGCCATTGTCCACTCACGAGCAGCGTCTCCAACACTTGCCGCGGTGCAAGCAAACATCGCCACAACGCCCAATGAGAATAGGGGCCATTTGTCCACTCACGAGCAGAGTCTCCAACACTTGCCGCGGTGCAAGCAAACATCGCCCCAATGCCCAATAAGAATAGAGGCCATTGTCCACTCACGAGCAGCGTCTCCAACACTTGCCGCGGTGCAAGCAAACATCGCCCCAACGCCCAATGAGAATAGGGGCCATTGTCCACTCACGAGCAGCGTCTCGCGGAGGTGCGGCGAGTGCACCAGCGTCTCCAACACTTGCCGCGGTGCAAGCAAACATCGCCCCAACGCCCAATGAGAATAGAGGCCATTGTCCACTCACGAGCAGCGTCTCCAACACTTGCCGCGGTGCAAGCAAACATCGCCCCCAACGCCCAATGAGAAAGTCCATTGTCCACTCACGAGCAGCGTCTCCAACCTCGCCATGGTGCAAGCAAACATCGCCCTAACGCCCAATGAGAATAAAGGCCATTGTCCACTCACAAGCAGCGTCTCCAACACTTGCCGGTCCAAGCAAACATCGCCCCAACGCCCAATAAGAATAGAGGCCATTGTCCACTCACGAGCAGCGTCTCGCGGAAGTGCGGCGAGTGCACCAGCGTCTCCAACACTTGCCGCGGTGCAAGCAAACATCGCCCCAACGTCCAATGAGAATAAAGGCCATTGTCCACTCACAAGCAGCGTCTCCAACACTTGCCGCGGTGCAAGCAAACATCGCCCCAACGCCCAATAAGAATAGAGGCCATTGTCCACTCACGAGCAGCGTCTCGCGGAGGTCGGGCGCGGCGCGGGCGCGCGGCGGCGCGTGCACCAGCGCGTCGAGGTGGTCGAGGTGCGCGGCGAGGCAGCCCACCAGCGCGCCCCTGCCGAGCGCGGTCACGCAGCGGATCATGGGCGCGGTGAGCCGCTCCTTGGTGCCCTGCGACAGGTAGTCGAACAGAATGCCCTTGCCTGGAAACGAACGCGCTGACGTCACGGGCCGGTCGAGCCGCTTTGCGGGTAGAACGCGACCTTGTACGTCAATTTAACTCTTTTTATGTGAGAAGGCGGTTCATCTGATTTCAAGTGATGACCGCCGCCCATGGATATCTGCAAGACCCGTGATTGCAGATGCGTTGCCACGTTTTAGTACACTTTACTAAAGCCTACTAAGGCCCCGGCTGACTCACTCATCAGAGGAAAGGCAGAAGTACAACCTCCAAGCCGGTATTCTGTGAGGTCGTGTTATTTTTTTTTTTATACCAGAAGGTGGCAAGCATGGATGTCTGCAACGGTTGCAGATGCGTTGCCAACTTTTAGTAAAGTGGGCCCCGGCTAACTCACTCATCAGGCGAAATGCAGAAGTATAACTCACTTCACGCCGGTCTTCTGTGAGGTCGTGGTACTTACCCGGACGGACCTGCCCATTATGCAACAGCCCTACCACAGTTTTCGTTTGTCCCTAGTACAGTATTAGTTTATTACTACGTCTTCAACAAATGGCATATAAAATTGTAAATTCGAGTTCGAGTGAGTGAATGAATCGAAGTCACAATATCGCTCCTTTTATCGTGACACCCATGGGTGTCGATGTGGATTCTGTTATTTTTTTTTTTTAGATAAATTCATCTTGTGTTAAATAAGTTATTCGTATGAAAACCCATTTTCTCAAGTTAAAATTCAAAACAAATGATTAAAAAAGTATTGAAATCAATTTACTTGAAACAGATAATAATAATAAATAATTTATTTTGAAAAGAAACATTGTTTGCTGCGACATATGTTCATAATGCTTATAACATCTAGGATAACTTAGCTTAGTTTAATCTAGTAAAGCAAAGATTTGCACTAATAAACACAAGATTACATTCGATATTATTAGTAGTAAGTGGCAACAGCAGAAAAATGACAACTACCCTCCGCGCTAGTAAGAACTGTGTTGCGGCAGAGCAGTATCACCGTTCCGTATTGTCCAACTTAAGTAAGACGTGATTAACATAAAGAAGTTGTGGTTTGACAGGTCAATGTCGTATGGTTACTGTTATTAAGTGCAAAAAATAAAAATGAATGACAGTATACCCAAAACAAACAGAACGTTATACTTATTACGAAAACATTTTTTAAACAATTTTGAACTAAAGTAATTAATGTGTCAATATGAGTGTTAAACTATTTTATATGTTAATATATGTAGGTACATATAAATACAGATAAACTTTAATGAGACTCTAATATTTATTAAAATATATTTTAAAACATACATAAACATACATGAATATTATATTACATATATATATTAACAATTATACGGTGTTTGTATTACATTCTTATTCAATTACAATTAGGACTAAAATATACATAAATATATTTAGTAAATATGTATTATATATGCCTCATATTTTAAGTAACTCTTCAGTAGCTGAGTAATTTAAGGTTAATAAGTACGCGGTACCAATTTTGTTGCAATTGAAATAATTTTCACCCGGCAAAGATTCAATGATTCGACAGACTCGATGGTACACCCGGGGACCCAAAATATAGATAAAACTGCGCACAAAAATAGTTCTACACAATGGAATATAAACAGTCGGCGACCGTCGTTGGTCAGATATTTTTGACGTTGTAATACGATGTTGCCTTAGTATTAATGATCTTAAAAATAACTGTCGAACTGTGAGTACTGAAAATTCTCGATATAAATCATCTGTAGGATAACACAATTCCTTGAACTTTGATAATAGCTCTTTGCGCTCGCTCTAATTTAATGAGATACGTTTTTTTAGCACCGCCCCAAGCTATTATACTATATGTTAATAAGGACTGACACAAAGTATAATAACTAAATTTTAATTAAACTAGTGTTTTGTCTTATTTTCTTAAATATGCAGATAAGCTTTCTAATTCGACTACAAAGTAAATCTATATGGCACTTCCAGTTAAGGTTTTGGTCAAGAGTAACGCCTAAATACTTAATAGATGTAACGGATTCCAGTACATGACATTCACGCAAAGAAAATTTGTCACAAATATGGTGTTTTATGTTGAAGTCTAATGTATATACTGAATGTCATATATTTTGTTTTCGAAAAATTAAGCGTTAAAACATGTTTGTTAAGCCAGTTTGAAACCTTTGTTAATCCGTCTTCACTTAGTCTCCGTACTTCGTCCCAAGCACAGTATCATCAGCAAAAGATAAAATTTTTGTGTTATTCATATTGATTTTATTCAAATCATTTAAATAAACCAAAAATAAAGTTGGGCCAAGAACCGAACCCTGTGGAATACCAAAATTGATAAAAATCTGTTCACTTTTTATGCCATTTACATTTACACATTGAGCTCTGTCAGTGAGGTAAGATTGAAATAGTTTTAGTGGGGTTCCACGGACACCTGCACATTCCAATTTGCGAATTAGGATAGGCACAGATACAGTGCAAAGTCAAAGGCTTTTGCTAGGTCTAGGAATATTGCCACGCATTTATTTTTCCAGTTTATATGTCCAGTTTTTGAGCAATACGGCAAGTTAGTTAAAGCCGTATTGACCATATGAAAAGAATTTATTCATTTCCAAGAATTTAGTTAGTCTCACATTAATTGCTTTCTCAATTATTTTTGCAAGAGTTGGCAGAAGTGCGATCGGTCTATAATTGGTAACATTATCTCGGCTTCCTGTCTTAAAAACAGGCGTTACCATGGATAATTTTAATAATGAGGGAAATATTCCAGACGAAAAACATATGTTACAAATGTGTGAAATGGGACTAGCCAGATACTCAACACCCGTTTTTATAAAATTTGATGATATACCATCCCAACCTGTAGATAAAGTGTTCCTCAGAGAACTTATTATTTTCTTTATCTCTTAATTGTCAGTGGGTAGCAACAATAGTGAATCACGAGGGGCATTGTTACTCTTTACGTTTGCAACTAAATCCGTCTCTTTGTTACCCAAATTTAATAGAATTTTTTGTGCATATGTTCCTCCTACATCTGCAAAGTACTTATTAACGTAGTTCACTGATACCAATTGATTATTTTTAACATTTAATAGTTCTGAGGGAGGTCTGTTTTTAGTATCAAGATCGCATATGTGGCGTATCACCTTTCATGTATTTTTTATATTTTGTTTATTTTTGTATATCTCCTCTTTTTGATAAGCAATTTTAATATTACGGAGAAGTCTGTTACAAAAGTTTCTATACCTCTTGTACGTGATAGATATTATAATATTATCTGGTTGTGCTTTATGTTTATGATGTAATTTATCTCTCCATTTAATGCATCTTATTAGGCCCGGGGTTATCCATGGTTTTATGTTAGTTTTTCGATTGGTTTTTAATATATTCTGTTGTACAATTTTGTAAAATTTGTGATAATATATTAATAAATGTCTTTGTAGCCACCTCAGGGTCCAAACAGCTAGTGACATCTGTCCACTCCTTATCTTTCTATTTTTTTAGAGCTAAATTGTAATCTATTTTTGTGATTAGTTTATGACTCCTAACCTTTAAAACACCCTTCAATACAAAAACTATCGAACAATGATCCGTAACCGAGGAATTGCAAACTATTGTGGTAGCCTTGGTACCTATCCTCATAAAACCATGATCTATGCAGTTGGGTCCACGAGTGGGTATAGTATGACTTGGTAGAAGGCCATGCATTGCTAGATGATTAAGGTAATCTGAGGATCTCAAATCTCTATTACCCCCTTTAATATCAATATTCAGATCACCAGTTACAATCAGATTTTTTAAGTTTTTAAATTTTGTTAAAGTTTTGTTTAAAGTTAATAAAAAATCATCTATGTTCAACATCGAAGGTGACCTATATATAGCTACAATTCCGTTTTGCTTATTAATTTCAACTATTAGGCTATCTGCATCTTTGATTTTTGGTTCATAAACAGTTACATCCAGATTTTCGTTAGCGTACACAACTATGCCACTATTTTGATTGATGTGTTCGGTTGATGCATATCGAGTGTAATTTTGTATAGCCGGTAAATTACTTGTATGTGGGAGCCAGCATTCTGTTAAAATTATTAAATCCATATTCGTCTTAAATCTTGCCAGGTGTATCATAAAATCATCAAAATCGCAGGATATACTTCGAATATTTTGCACAATTATTATGAGCCCTCCAACGGAATTTTCCAACCAATGTCCACAATCAACAGGATCTTTGATCGACAACGATTCACCGACATTGATGTTAGTATCAATGTCGATGTTAACGTATTCTGTGTCATTTGTCATGACTGTATTAATAATATATGTATGTTTAATAAATAGATGTTCCCGATTAGTTCCTGAAGCATCAAACATCGGTGGTCAGATAAAATGAGTCGGAAAATAACAGTGCAAATGTTATATTTGTGAGAATTACCATATTGAGTTGAGTTTGAGGAGATATGTATGTAGAGAGTATATAGTATAGACATAAATATATGATATAAATATGGTAGTGATTTAATATGAACATTTAGGATATAGATAATTCTAATAAAATCATTTGACACACTCATTGTAAAAAAAAGTAAAAAATAGTTGTATGAGTAATAATAAAAAAATAAAATAAAAATGTAGTATGAGGTTCAACAATAATGATACTAATACAAAATTGACACAAATAAAGAGTCATTGTAGGTTCTCACTGTTTTGTATGATTTCTAAGTCTTTTAGGTTATTTATACGTATGGCTGGTTGACCATCTCCTTTTTTTAGCATTACCTGACCTTTAGATACCCAGCAGTATTTGAAAGTTCCGTCTTTAACAACTTTTTTTCCAGAAGCCAGTAAGATCTTTGTTTTAGATGTTAGTAGTTCAGACATCAAAAATAGGGACTTTGGCTATTATCATGCCGAGATTAGCACTATTCTGTTTCTCTTCCTTATTTTCAGCGTTATATAACTGTACAGCTTTTAATATTTTGTCTTTTTCATGTTGATCTTTAAATTTCACTACTATCGGTGCGTTATCCTCGCCTCTGCGATAGATATCTTTAATAATTTCTCTATTAGGGTCTAATTTTACAGATTTCATTAGTTTTATAACAATCTGGTACAAGTCTTCGTTGTTTTGCCTTGGTACATTTCTTATTTCTATTGATTTCTTCACTTGGTTTTTATGTATGTCTTCCAGCTTCACTTCCAGTTCATTAACTTTGGAATAAACTTTAACGTATTCTGCTTCTAAATTGTTTATTTTTTCTTGAAGTTCCTTTTGTTTTTGGGTTTGATAAACAATTTTTTGAATATCATTATTACTTTCCAATAATTTTGCATTTTGTAAAGTCAATTTCTCAATCGCCTTATTAAGAGTATCATATTTGATTTCTTGACTTAACTGGAATTCTTTAAACATTTCCTTCATATCTTTGCAAAATTCGGAAAATAGGTCACAATCCGGATTTTTCCTTTTTCTACCACTTACTCTCTCTCTCTCGTTGGCCTATCTTCTTCAATGCCTTCATTCAGATTAGGTTGAGATGAAAAAGCACTGGTTGTTGGTGATCGTTGCAGCGGCAACTTCTTATTTTGAGTGTACTATACGTGCAACACAAAGTCCGCTGTGACTAATCCGCACAAATAATTGATTTTAATTAATCGTAATTATTAAAAATAATCCATATGACACTGACATAAAGATCACTTTTGGATGTTCTCAAATGTTAAGATTTTTTTAAGAACTGACACACGTCTGGTGTTGACGATGTTTCGACGGTAAATGCAGGTTATGCGAGAAAGTGGCAAAAGGGTTGGCGGTTCACCTGATGTTAAGTGATAACCGCCGCCCATGAACATTTGCAACACTCGTGGGGTTGCAAATGCGTTGCCACGTTTAAATAAAGTCGGCTCACCTCACTCACCAGATGAAACGCAGAAGTATACTTTACACTTCTACTTTACGCCGGTCTTGTGTGAGGTCGTGGCACTTACACAGACGGACCTGCCCATTTGTGCAACAGTGAATGCTGTTGCATGGCCCTACCACAGTTATGTGTAAGTAGTACATGTAAATCTTTTTAGGTCATGTTCATGCAGACATTTAACCTTTTTACTATGATGTATTCAACTCTTACTTTGAGGCATCACAAAATCTTTAATGGCAAAGTTGAATGTAAGAAAAGTAACAGAGTTTTGGTGCCTTCTCTGGAAGCACAAAACGTCTAAACACGCTCATTCTCTACTGCCAGTAACTTTTAATATGTACGAATGTACAACACTATATTATGATGATTCTACACTACTCACCAATTGCTATAAATGAGGGCCATGTGCGAGTGATCTTTGTAAGGATCGCAACCATTTTCTCAGCTAGTGATCCGTTTCCTAATATATTTGAGACCATCACTGGGAACAATCGCTGAAACTGGAAATAATATATTATTAACAAAAAGTAATACAATAATATAATATGTAAATACATTGTTATTCATTTCAGATGTTAACACTATAAGAATTTAGTAAAAAAAATACTAAAAGGGATATATTGTGACCAAAAAAGTACCAAAAAAAAAGTATATTGAAAAGTTTGCCTAACGAAAAACAGAGTAACTATAATAACATTTCTAAGATCCAATCTGTCAAACTAATCTTTGTGATATACAAAATAGCACTAGGCCCCTCAATAAAATCTAAAATATTCTCAATCGATAAAATCAGTAGTGGAGTAATTTTCTATCTCCTCAGTCAACTTGTCTCTTTACAAACGGGTTTAATACGCAACACTTTTATATGTACAGGGTATGCACCCAAATTTAACAACCCAAAAGGACGAAATATTTTTTAAGGCTGTTCATCCAGGGAAATCTATAATACCCATACGGTTGCAGATGCATTGTAAATCTATGTGATTAAAAGTGGGCACAGTTTCACTACACATTGCAACAGGTTTGTACAGGCTTATTTTCGTTGCAAGCTGCCAGAACAGTAAACAAAATATCGAAAAACATTTCACACATAATTCCCAGTACAGTTTCAGCTGTGTTCTATCCAGTATTGGTTAGTTTCACTTTTTAATTTGTAGTGAATTGTATGTTACCTGCTGTTGAATATTAGTGTCCAGGCTGCAAGGATTTGAACAGAGAGCATCCACCATATCCAAGACGTTGGACTGAAGTGGTTTCTTTGCGGGGACATTGAGAGCCTTGAGGTTGTCGTCGTTGAGCACCAGTACTGCCAAGTTGAAGAGATTCGGGAATATGGGTCCAATCCTAGTGTTAGTTGTCAGATCTTCTACGGCTATTTGTTTTGGCTTCTTTTTTAAATTCAAGATTGCTGGAAAATGGAGAATTTTTTTGTTCTTATATACAAGTAACACAACACCACTGTGCATAGAAAGCAAAAAGAACAAAACAATTAAGATGGGGCGATTCTCACCACTCCTAGCCATTAATACAGTCAACGGCAATCAGGGACAACCCTACCCATAGATAATGAATACATGAAAACATGAATGAATGAATGAATGAATATACTTTATTGCACATCAAAAATAAAAACAAACAAAAATTAAAACTTAATGTAGAAGTGATGGGTACAATTGGTGGCCTTATTACTAAGAGTAATTTCTTCCAGCAACCTTTGGATGGATTAAAAAGAAATAATTTAGGAATAAAGGCTAACAAAATATATACATATAAATACACATGTACATACATATACACAACAATACATACATATAACATGTGCGGACCTAAAACTTGTGGAATCTGTACACACTTTGTATTAAAATAGCAGCAAGTGCCTTCAACCTAATAGCCACTTTTCATTATAAAATAGAAGTTGCTAGAAAAATAAATTATAATATAATCATAACTAAAATTTTGTTAAGCTATATATAAAGTTATACATAAATATATAAAATAAATAAAATTTAAAACATATTTTAAACAAACCTCTAGCAACCTTTGTGTAATAGTTTTGTAGATTAAAGCTTATGTTACTGTTACTACTTAAACTTCTATCATCTGTAATCCATTCCACGGACACAGAGGGCAGTGTTGAAAAAACATATGTCTGACTGGTCATGGCAAATTCGGTTACATTAAGAAGATTTTCCTGTAAATAGTTAATAGTTTTTTAAATATTAATTTTTATTAATAAAATTCAAATGGCGAGAGAGATGCATTATATTATGTGGTATATTATATTTAAACTTGTGAAAACTTACAATTCTTAGAAACGAAATTCGCAAAATACTTTCATTTAATAACAAGAAATCGTTACAATACAAAATATGGTAATTTCACAAAAAAATTAAAATATAATTAAACAATAAATAAACACGATAAGCCCATAGCAAAATAGGTTCACTTACAAAATAATGCTCTAAAGAATATTATTTCTACTTTTCTTATGAATTGCAATGTTGTATGTTTATTACTAACAGCATTATATAACGAAAGATATATTTCATTCTCACATTGTATCAGTTTATCAAATATTTTCAAAACAATAAGCTTCAAAACTATTTTTTTTTTATTAATTGGAATTGAAACTTCACTTTATAACTTGAAATATTTGTAATATTAACATTATTTTTATCAAATTTCATCAAAACTTTGAGGTTGATTTACATAGCCTAAGCATTTAGAATTTGATATTTACTTACAGTTTGATAGCACAACTTCTCTTCTCCAAGGGGAGCAAAACTAGAATTTGTTGTGCCTACAACTGGACTTGTATCTGACAGCATGAGTACAGTGTTAACATCCCACGAGTCAACACAACTTTTCTTCATCATCTCGCTATGCAATGAAATTGTCTGAAATATTACAATTCACACATTACCACTATGTTGATATTATTGAAACAGTTTCTAGCCTACAGTTACTGAATGAATATTACATATATACTTATGAGTTGTGGGTTAGCCAAGATCCAATGGATAGAATACACAGATGGTTATAGGTAGTGTGTGCATACTACAACATTTTGTGGATATATAGATATGTTCTAGAATATGTGAAAAAGAGAGTGATATTTTATTGTGTTCAAAAAAAATTTAATACTAAATAACTGTTCTTAAAACAAAGATAATGTAGATGTAACTCAGGCTTGCCCTATCTCAACTAAAATTATAAATCATAATTACCAATGACACCACCTTGATGGTTGGCGGTCCACCATTGTGCCTTTTTGATGCAATTTTCTGCCCACACAGCTACTTTGTGGAACAAATTGTTGCAATCTGTATTTCTGGACCGATACAACTTAGGAACCTTCAAAAAGAGAGCCTACTCCTACCTTAAAGGCCAGCAGCGGAATTGTGAATTATCCAATGTTGCAAGTGTCCATGGGCGGCGGTGGTTGCTTACCATCATGTGACCCACTTGCTTTTTTGCCTCTCTTGCCATAAAAAAATCATAATTATCCTAGTTCCTTACAGAAATTGTTTGTCGCAGTTTATAGCTAACATCCTCAGCAAGGTTTGCAGCTGCTTCGCCAGTAAGCTCTGCAGCCACTTGTTCCGCAATACACAATATCGAATCTGCCCCCACGCCAACAAACTTGCCTTGTGTTGACGAACCATCCTGCAAAAATGAACAAAAAATTTGTCAATTAGATAAAAAAAGTCCTATTTATTTTATACATTAATTACATTAACAAGATATTTTAAGTTCTGAGTTATTAATTACTCTGTTATTATAGGAAGATAGCTAGGCTAGGCTAAGCAGCAGTATTTAAATTTATGTGAAAAATTAAGAAACAAGCACAAATATAAATTAACAATTATTGGAAGCATTATTTTCTAAAAATAATAAATAATATAAATATTAATGACTGGGATTCCAGATTGCAATACAAAATGCAATACAATAACAATTTTTGTCATAAAATGCACAATAAATATGTTACATCATGATAACATGTGTTTTAACTGTTTTGTTTAGAACAGTTATTTTTAAATTATTTTTTAAGGTATGAATTACTTTATACCTATGTTATAAGGTAATTGGGCAATGGTTGGGGAGTTTATATATTTTTACAGGCGCCTGTATCAGAGAAAAGTAATATTGTTATAAATAAAACACAATTGGAGAAAAATAATTTACTCTAAAAATGTTTTGGCTTGTACTCAAGCTCTAATAATAATAAAAAAAATTGTATTATATGAACACTAGGATGACATGACCCTTACAATTTACCTTTTCTGAAAGAGGTGGAGTATCGCATTGACTAGAACCTCCAGATTCAGACGCAACAGACTTGTTTTTGTCACGCTCTCTTACATTATTCACCTTCTTGTGGTGATTTTTTGTGCTACTCGATGAAGACAGATTAGACATGATACTATATTTAGTAAATACACAATTGTAGTAACATTGCAGAAGTTATTTCACAATATACAATTTACATTTAAAAACTTTAACAGCACTTACATACTTGGCATGCAATACAATACAAATCCCAAAAAAAAAATAATACTAATTAGTAATTACCTACAGTTTACACCTAAATGACAAATGAAACAGGGTTGCCATGCCGGATTGCCTATGCGTATGTGGCGTATGCCTTTTTGACGTTTCCAAGAAAAAATACGTTTGGGAAATGGAACCATTTTGAAAAGCTTTGCCTTGATGATGCCGTGCTAGTTCATTGTCCCGGTGTTCGCTTTTAATTTAGTATACTCAAGCAACCTAAGTTCAAATCCCGGTAGCAGCAAGCCCAGCGATGAAGAAAAACCTCGTGAGGAAACTTGCATACCCATCCACCAAGGGGTCGCCGGGTGAACTACGCCCAAATACCCTTTATACACAGGAGACCATTGCCTAACAGTGGGATGTTTATAATTATGGATACTTTTATAAACATAATTATGTGGACACAAAACCTTCAAGTTCTGTAAAAATAATACAACAATTCATAAAAATCGCTGAATTCGTTCAGATTTAGATATTAATATTATGTGTTCCAATAATGCTGACAAAAGTGAGAAAAAAATAAGAAAAGACAATCAGTTAGTATTTATTAGCTACAAATTTGATGATATTCTAAATGAAATTTTTAACTTCACACATTGATCCGAAAAAGTTCAATGAACTGTTAAGTTATAACTGATACTGGAGAGCATAAGTTTTTAACGACACTTAACGATATTTTTTTTGTATTTGTTGTTATAGTAGAAATACATCATTTGCGAAAATTTTAACTGTCTAATTATAACGGTTCATGAGATACAGCCTGGTGACAGACGGACAGACAGACAGACAGCGGTTTCTTGGTGCAAAAGATAATACTATCTTCTTCTTATGTGAGGCCGTGATTCTTCCCCGGACGAAGCTGCCCATAAATGCAACAGCAGAAGCGGCTACGTAGAAAAAAATTTATTCATTTTTCATCTATGGGATTCAACATTCCATACTGATACAAATTAAATAACGGCGTACTGAAAATATTGTGTTTAATTCAGGCCCGTTTGAAGCCATTATGAACATCAAAACCTACCAAAGGTTTACAAATTTACCTTTCTTGGGGATGGGTACGGAACCCTAAAATAAGTTTTACCTGCAAGTAGCAAATACAAGGCTACGCATTGGAAATATTGCACAATCAACTTATGGGCTCGGCACCACAATACACTTATCCCGTAAAATACAAATAAGTTATATTGTATTCACGATTTATCTGTATTTTGAGCCCACTCTGGATGCGTGCTGGATGGTACAGGGGATAGGTCGAGAGTAGTAGAGGAGGAGTCACTCTCCCTGTCTTCTGCTAACGAGGAGCAGTCGCGGGGGAAGACGAATGTCGGTATTGCGATGCGCTGTTCTCCCTACCCTCCGCGGCTGAAACGTGGTGAGCAGTGGAGTCACAGACCAGATCCGCCGCTGAGGGCTGGAAGGCTTGATGCTTATTAGCACTGGCTCTCCTGGCTCCCATAGCCCTGGTCAGCGAACTCGGGGGAGTTCCATGAAAAAGGTGCCGAGTAGGTAAGCGAGTTGTTCGCGGTGATTGATGTGAAAGTGTTATACTTTTACGTTTCGTCTGGTGAGTCAAGTAACCTGAGCTCACTGGTATGTGGCAACGCATCTGCAACCCTACGGGTGTTGCAAATGTCCATGAGTAGTGGTTATCCCTTAACATTGAGTGAACCGCCAGCGCGCTTGCCACCTTGTCACATAAAAAAAATATGTAAAAATATGTTTATTATTATTTAATTATGGGGGGTATTCATTTGTTTTCTCGCCTGGTTGGGTTTATGGATAAAAAATAAACATATAGATATAAATATTGTATATTATACATATGTAAATAGGACCCAACCAGACGGAAGCCCTCGGCAGGGGAGACCAAATGGCCGAGGGTTAGGGTGAAAGGGAGAGAAACCGGCGGACGATGCGGGCGGTATCGAGTAGCACCGCCTTCTGCATTTGAGAAACCCTTGGAGCGTTTCGTCCCGAAGTCCCAGTGGCCTCAGAACAAGACTGGGATCAAAACATTCGCAGACACGGGATAATTTCGGTCGGCACACCACACCACCTGTCGGTCACTTCGTGAGCCAGGTCCAGATACTTCGTTTTCTTATCTGTGTCGGCTTTCGCGAGGTTTTCGTCATATGGAATGACATGGTAATGGAAAGGAATGGAATGGTAATGTCGACCACAAATACCCGCGACTGTGCCCGGTGCATCAACACGATAACAAGTTTGTTCGCGACAATCGTCCTGTCCGTGATGCCGGTCTCAATAGAGCCTGACGCGGTCATTTTCGAGAACGGCTTCCGGAGAGTACTTATAGTACGGCAGTTTCCGTTCCACGAGGTCGTATTTCAGAGCGAGTGCCTGGTGTAGGATTCTGGCTACTAGGTTGTGTCTTGTAGTGTTATTATTATTATGGGGGGATATTCATTTGTTTTCTCGTCTGATTGGGTTTATAAATAAAAATAAAAATATAGATACATATTGCATATATAAAATAAATATTATAGATAAAAATAAACATATACATATAAATGTTGTATATAATACATATATAAATAGGACCCCATATATAAATAGGACCCAACCAGACGGAACCCCTTGGCAGGGGAGACCAAACGGCCGAGGGTTAGGGCGATAGGGAGAGAAACCGGCGGACGATGCGGGCGGTATCGAGGAGCACCGCCTTCTGCATTTGAGCTTGGAGCGATCCGTCTCGGAGTCCCAGTCGCCTCAGATGTTTGGAGAGGCTGACTGGGATTAACCCATTCGCAGACACGACTATCGGGATAATTTCGGTCGGCACACCACCCCACATGTTGGTCACCTCGTGAGCCAGGTCCAGATACTTTGTCTTCTTATCTGTTTCGGCTTTCACGAGGTTCTCGTCATATGAAATGGTAATGTCGACCAAAAATACCCGCGACTGTGCCCGGTCCATCACCACGATGCCAGGTTTGTTCGCGACAATCGTCCTGTCCGTGATGATGGGCCGGTCCCAATAGAGCCTGGCGCGGTCATTTTCGAGCACGGACCCCGGAGAGTACTTATAGTACGGCAGTTTCCGATCCACGAGGCCGTATTTTAGAGCGAGCTCCTGGTGTATTTACCATCCTTTATTTTTTTTTATTCTGTGAAAAAGCATTGCCTTCACTTTAGGCTAACATTATCCTGTGTTGTAAGGACATTTTACAAACATAAATTTTACGCGGACAAACACCCAGATGCGAAACAACTATCTGTGGGTCTCACAAATAGTTGTCCCGTGTGGGAATCGAACCCACGACCCCGACGCCGAAGCCAATACCTTGGCACCTGCGCCAAGGAGTCATCGAAGTCATCCTTATTTTCATGTTTGTCGAGGGAAGCTATGTGTCGGGATGTTTGTGTGTATAACGAATAATATTAAAAATTAAATTATGTTTACCTTTTATAAACTTTTAAAAATCTTAATTTAATCTTATTTGATTTGTTACATTTTTAAATTAAAGTAAAGCCGTAATGAGTAAAGTAGTAATGAGATAAAAGTTACGAATATTGTAAATAACGTAATAACCAATTAGAGCAGAGCACATGCCTCAAGTAGGGTCGAGGCGCCATCTTGACTTAACGAAGCCTTAAGTTTTGGGAGACACTTGACACATTGGAGTGACAGCGATTGATCGAGTTGGATCGTTGAGAGTTTATTCAGTAGTTAAAGTAAGATCGGTGAAAGGTTCGGGAGTGGCAGCCTCGTACTGGCCATCGCAGTGTAGGACGACCCCCCACTAGATGGAGTGACGACCTGTGCAAATGTGCGGGAAGTCGATGGATGCAGGTGGCTCAGGGTCGTACTCCGTGGTAGTCTATGGGGGAGGCCTATGTTCAGCAGTGGACTCAAACAGGCTGAAATTATGATGATGGTGCCCTGTACCCGCTGCTCGGTTTAAACTATTCGTTTTTCTTACTTAACAACAGTAAGTGACAAAACATTGTTTAATCTGAATTAAAATAATACGAAACTGTGATCATTGGGTTTTGTGCTCGCATTTTACCCTGATGCCCACTGAGAACGCAACTGTTAACGGCGATATCAACGAGAACAATGCTTCTCCGACATATATCTCTAATTTATTATAAATTTTTATTTATTACACAAATTTTGTATTCCTTGATAGCTAGAATCGACGATCAAAGTCTTTCCGCTCGGCTTGATCCTTTGGCTCTGCGTAGAGATGTTGGATCACTCTGCATCTTCTACCGCATTTATCACGCGGAGTGTTCCGAGTAATTGTTTGGATTGATCCCGGCAGCTGAATTTCACCATCGAACATCACGCCAAAACCAAAAATTTTATCCACATCACGTCGATGTCCAGCGTTCCACAACAGCACAAGCTTCAAGGCATTTCCTGCCTCGCACAACCACTTGGAACCAGCTGCCGCCGGCGTTCTTTCCGAAGCGTTACGACCTGGGAACCTTCAAGAAGAGAGCATACTCTTCTTTCCTTAAAGGCCGGCAACGCATTTGTAAGCCCTCTGGTGTTGCAGGTGTCCATGGGCGACGGGGATCACTTACCATCAGATGAGCCTCCTGCTCCTTTGCCAATTTTTTCCCATAAAAAAAAGCTTTCACTACATCCACATCCTGCGTTCAATGGTAAAGAATTTTTGGGCATTCAGCCCGTACTTTGGTACCTTTTTTTTAGGTTGGCAATAAATATTTATTGTTAATTAAAGGGGTTACACAAACAATTTACTTTGTAATAAAAAGAAGGCAATTTAAATTCAAATACATTTAATTCGTTGAACAAAACAAGCATGAAGTTTGTAAAAATGAGTAAGGATTTCCAAACTCTTGTAAAACTAGTCACCTATATGAACAAGATTAATTAGGTCTTTGTCTATTTGAGCAGTTTCAGATTCGTTTTCTGTAAAATTACCTTCCCTGAAGAATAGTTCTACTTCCTGCAAAGTTTTCCCTTTTGTTTCTGACATAAAGAACCAAAGATACGCGAGGCACATAAACACAATGGAGGAATTTAATAAGAACACACCGTGGAAACCCATTGCGCCAACCAAACATTTGTTAAGTCAACGTCACACTTCAAACTGTTGCACAACCAGTAAAAGCGCCCAGCCCAAAAATGCAATAAGGCTTTAGTTCCAAGGGATACACTTCAGCCAGCAATATTTCCGAAACCGCATAAGGACCAGCGTATGCCACAATGAAATAAAATGAAAGTAATGACGTGAGCAAGCCCATGCGTAGTAAATTTTGTCCTTCGGCATGTAATAAAGGCAAATACTCAATATTATTAGTGAAATATTTGACACTAGCCTGAAAGAAAATAGCAGCGTCCTCATTTTCATTGTTCTTAAAAGAAAAACTGGTAAAATCGAATCAATTATGATTTCCGTCATTTCTTGTAACATGGTTATGGCCAATATGTTATACAAAATTCTGCCAGCCGCTACTCTGTAAATACTTATCATTACACACAAAATATTGATCTTCTAAAAACATCCTATTTAGCTTTTGTCAAATTAAAAATTAGGCGTCATTTGTATACAATTAACGGAAAATTTACAATGTTGTAATTTTTTAATTTTATAATATTGAACATAAAGTAACTATTTCCATCCATTATTAAAATAAAAACAAATAGTTAGAAATTGCAAGAATTGGATTATGACTATTGTACCTAAAAGAACGTTAACACAAATTTCCTGTAATTTGTGGTTCATGTACAATGTACTGTACAAATTAGGATATCTCATACAATTTGTACATTACATTTTGATTAACGGAATAAATCCATTGTCAATTATTATGATTTAAATCCAGTAAGCAGTGACACAATTTATCATTCAAAATATGAATAAATCTTAAATTTGTAAGTGTATATATAAAAAAATCAGTACTTAAAAAAATCAGTACTTTTTCACATATCGAAAATTTATTTGTTATTTATATTACAAGTCATTGTTTTACTATTACTATATTCACAATCAAAAAGACAATTTTCACAATCAAAAATTGTGTGTACAAATACATTTGAGGGCGTTCCCCGTGGTGGCACCTCCACTTGGAATTCTTGGAATTGACATATCGAGCAGCGTTCAGTGTCGCTATCACTTAGACTAGAAAGCCAAGCTCGCTTCTAAAAATCTTGATGCCCAGCCATCATTGCAGGCGATACTGCAGCGTCAAACTGAAACTGACTATCTGTCAAAGTCAAAATTTCTTTACATAAGCTTATAACAACATAGGCTTATTTTAAGCTCGTATTAAACGTCAAAAACTACCACCAGCTCACGTAACTAGACTTGCAAGAGCAGAGCCGGCAAAAAACATATTTTTTTTATAAATTATTCGTCGATCGTGCAGTGGATCATCGTCAAATCCGTTAACTGTATCCGGCCTATTACTTCACGAACAAATGTTCCATGTTTACCGTTATAGCATCTCTTTAAATAAAATGTTAATTGCTTAATTTTTTCCGAAAAATGATTCGATCTTAATTATTTCCAATTAGAGCCACCACTCGTTTGCGCGCTTGTGTCAGATACAGTAGTACGAACTGTCATGAATTCGAGTGAAACTCGATTGATTCATAACTCGAATCTGTCGGGAGTAGGCCTGCTGTTCTCAACTCTGGACTGGGTTGCCTTAATTCTATCATGACTTTATCCAACGTAGATCGGAATCGTCGACGAAAAGGACCTTTCCAATCGTCTCGACAATTTGGCGGTGAGATCATTTTATCTTTGTACATTTTCTTAATCCAATCTATCACGGGAAGCTCTCTGAGGAGTTTTTTGTGTTAATACCTGATAAATGAAACTAATTTTACGGATTTATCGATGTAAATACAAATATGTAATGTAAATACAAATGTAAATACAAGAAATTATTAATACCTGATGCTAAATTTCACCACTATACAACCGTATAACTGCCAAAAACTAGACCACCGATACATAAAAAATAAGAAACTCTACGGACGTAATTTTAGAAGTGGTAACACCCTAGCGTCATATTCTAGGGTAGGTCCAATGGTGTCGCAGTCCTGTCAGAGACCACAAAAGTTCTGCGATAAATTACATAAGCTTGTAAAATCAATTTCTCAGACATATGGATTTTAAAATAAATCCATAAAATATTATTTTTCATCAATACTTTAATTCTATTGCGTTAAACAGTTACAGTATTAACAACATTATTCATTTAAATTATTTCTATTTACTTATTTATTTACAAATTTTATTTTGTAAAATACCTCAACAATTTCTAGTAAGTGATTAAATTTAACGTAATTCAAGAATACGTATAAATCTTTATACTTTAACAAAAGATTGTGACTGTTCAAAACTCGAAGCATGTTCGTTATCAGCAAACTTGCCGTGTCTAAAAAATAACTCAATTTCTTGCATCGTTCGTCCTTTTGTTTCCGGCACGTTTACCCAAAGAAAACCCATGCATAGGAACACAATTGCAGAGTTCAATAGAAATACTCCATGGTAACCTATGGTGTTAAACATACTAGGCGCTAACTTCACACTCAAAAATGATGCTAAACCACCTAAAACTCCAAGGATGACTGCTAAAAAAGATTTAAATTCAAAGGGGAAAATTTCGGCCAGCAATAACTCTAAAACTGCATAGGGCCCGGCATAAGAAACGATAAAATAAAATGCTAATAAGGAAGAAGAAATCCACGCAATGTACACGTCATTTGACGGTGCATAATAAAGGAAAATGCTCAATATAACTAAACCAGTATTGGAAATAAATCCAAAGCGAAACAGAAGAGTCCTCATCTTCATCGATCTTAAAAAGAAGCACGACATGATGGAGCCTACAACGATTAGCCCATCCACGAGTAACATGAACATTAGAATATTAGAGCTGCCGGTCATTTCTTGCAGTATAGTTATTGCCATTGTGTTATAGAGGACTCTTCCTCCGGCCACTCTATTTATGCTTACCACTACGCACAACAATACCACCTTCCAGAAATATCTTTTTCTCAAAGCCACGGCGAGTTTGTCGATGAACCCGTGTACACGCTGCTCTTTTGGCGAGAACTCCATCCGTTTTGACTGTTCGAAGTTGACAAGTAACCTCAATTCGGCTTCTGAGGCGTCACTGTATCCGTGGAGCTCTCTGAATGCCCTCTCACATTCCTCGAACCTGCCTTTCGAAGCTAACCAAGACGGGCTCTCCACCCAAAACAGGGGTAAGACCATTGACACGCCTGTAGGAACGATACCCAACAGAGCTACCGTTCTCCAATGCAACAGTATGCAAAGTATATGCCCCATCGTCATTCCCAAAGCAGGGCCCACCGCTGATATGACGTTGAGGTAAACCGCTCTTTTACTCGGCGTGGAGTATTCAGCCATCGACGCGTATAATAGAAAAATGAGACCGCCGTGACTTACGCCCACCAAAATACGTGAGAAGAGGAAAGCCGTCATGCTCGTCGAGTAGTAAATCATTACCCATGTGAACAACACCGGCAGACTCAAGAGTACGATCGCCCGCCTCCTTCCCAGCCTCTCCGAGATCATTCCGGCTATAGCGAAGCCACAAACGCAGGTAATGTTGATCGTAGAAGCTGCAAATATAAATAAAAGTCGATGAAATGATTTTATAATTCAACAAGTTCATATTTTGATTGCATTCAGCTTTCATGAAATAAGTTTGTTTTCTTAACTCAACTGTGGTATATGCAATTTTTATATGGGCAACAAGTCATGTCTTTGACAGTTACTGCACAGAACGTCTATGCAGTAAATTATAATTATATAGGTAGGTACAATAAATAATTGCGGGAACAAAAATACGTATTCATTTATGCATATATATAACGTGGCGCTACTAAGTATCATTAAATCAGCACACATATAGAGGATAACGTTTTGAAATTGTATTAATTTACTTTCTTTTGAATCATATTTTATAAACATCAATATTTACCGAGTTATAAAATTTCCCAAAAAAAATTTTTAGAACATCCTTACAAATAAAACTGTAACGTAAAGTTCATTTGTAAAGGTCACAAAACATATACATTGGTTGAATGAATTTAAAAGAGATAAAACATACTGTTAGAAAGAGAGTCTTGTATTGCGACTTTGTGGCAACGAATTAAAAAGTCTCTGAACGTATGAATCCGTCAGTTGTAGTTTTATAGAATTTTATATGTTTCTTGTTTATTTAATTACATTGTTTGACAATTATTTTCTTTTAAATAAGGATTTTTAAACGTTTATATTTTTTTATGATTATTGACAAGTAGCGTTAGAAGTGTGTTCATTTATTTTCGCGGTTGTAACGCCATGCTATATAACTGTGGTAGGGCAACCCAACAGTTTTCACTGTTGCACGAACGGGCATGCCGTCCGGGTTAGTACTACGACTTCACAGAAGACCGGCGTGAAGTAGAAGTGTTACTCTTCTGCGTTTCGCCTGGTGAGCGAGGTAGCCGGGGCCGGGGGCCCACTTTATTTAAAGGTAACATCGCATTTGCAACCCTTGTAATTACAGTACAATTACATCCATAGTCGATACTATTTAAATTACACATACAGTGAATTATCTTATATATTATAGTAAACGACAATTATATATATTTATTCATTATTTTTTGTTGTGGCCTTGATGATAAAAGAATCGAAAACATCAGCTCAAAAGGCCCCTAACTTGTTTTATTTACATTTACAAAGTTATCGATTTTGATGTAGGTACCCGAAATTAAATTCCAAGGCTGATGAACACTAAATTTACCCGCCATGTAATTACTTTTAAGATTTTTTATTTCTAATTCTATTGTATAGTAAGGTAAGGTAGGTAAGGTAACAGTCTATGTGTTACATGTCCCACCGCTGGGCAAAGACCTCCTCTGTACCTCTATGCCCTTTGGTATCAGGGCATAATTCTAGTGTATACGTGATATATATATATAATAATTATATGTATAATATAGTGGGAAGATGAACTAAGTAGTTCAAAACTTACACAATAACTGGCTGAAAAATTTCTTTCTAATACAATGTAAATAAACATAAGTATTACCAATCCATGACACGTCGTCTTCGCTTAGGCCATTTGCATTACGCAAAGCGTTCACCATTCCGGACATCTGACCGAAAATATATCCACCGGAAATGCTGCACAGCATTAAACCAGTAACAATGGTGAACTGCAACATTTGTGATAGGTTAAACTTGACGGAGATTTCATGTCGCTATAAACGGCTATACGGCGAAAGAAATATGGAAAAATTCATTGACCAAATACAGGGTGACTTTTCTAAAGGAGCCCAAATTCACACAGGAGGTTCAAACTCAAACTCTAGTATAATCGTTTATTGAAAACTAAGAAACTTTTTTTTACAAAAAATTGCCATTCCATTCCCTAAAAAACAGAACTTGTTGAAAATGAGGTAGTCATTCATAAATGCGTCGTATACTTTTGAAACGAACTTGTGTCCGTATTAGTTATGAAGGATCGCGCCTAACATAAGTGAGTTGCCCATAAATCACGCACTTTTTGAGATAAGTTCAAATGAATGTCTTTAATTAATTAAGAGTGATTTTAAATATTTACCACTTTTTATAACACTACTTATGTCAAGAATTTAATTAAGAAAATGGATATACTTAGAAAAGCGTCACTGTATAAAATCAATAATTTTAAAATGGCGGGCTTAAATCGATCTCTCACGAATTTTCGACAACATTATATTGACATTACCTGCCTCTTGCGCTAGAGGGTGTGGGTTCGATCCCCACTCCTGGAATAACATTGTGTTATGAACATAGTGTTTCAATTCAATCTAATCGAAGTATATTTATGTTACCTGCCCGTGTAGCTTCATTGCAGCTGTAGATTTTTGCCAATTTCTTCTGCCTTTAATCCTTCGTATCCTTTCGAGTGACGGAATGACGAATCAATTGAGCTAAAAAAAGCATAATTAACTTGTCGTCGGGTAAAACAGCAATTATTGCATATTTTTAAATAATGAAATCAAAATGTTACATACATTATAATTAAAATGTTATATACAAATGAAAACTACATTTTTCTTATGACAAAAAGTGGCAAACTAGCTGGCGGTTCACCTGATGTTAAGTAAAAACCGCTGTGCATGGACATTTACAACACCCATAGGGATGCGTTGCCATCTTTAAATCAAAAAAATTGGTAAGTAAAAGTGGTGGCAAAAATCTATATAATGTCTTCAAATGAAATTCCATCCTAATGTTTAGAAATTAAACTAATTGCCTGTTCAGTTTGCAAAAACGACATAACATAACACCACTATGTGTGCTTATCAAGCGGCTGAGATTTTGAGAACCTTATTTACTACGATTGTCATTGTACTAGGTAGACATTGTACTAGTGAAATTCACCTTTTGATTCACACCTATTATGTATTGAATATTTCTAGCACACTTGCGTTGATACGTCAACTTAATTCCATATACATAGGTAATTTCAACTAGGTAGATATCAGATCCACTCCATGGGCGGCGGTAATCGTTTAATATCAGATGAATTGCCTGCATATTTGCCTCATCTTCTGGGATATAGAACCTTATATACCACCATATAAGATGAAAATAAAAATAAAATATAACTAATAAAATAATCGCTTATGACTTTCAATCATCAGATCACATCACAGCTGAGAACAAACAAGGTCAATTAGACTAAATTAATAAAATTAAACATTTTAATTTGGTCGAAATTTTTTAAGTATATAAAATATCAACAACATACCTACCTTACCGCGTCTGCCAGTTGCACTGTACGAGCTGATTCTGGTATAATTTACAATTGTGCTGTGAACCATTGATATATTATGTTATTATCAAAGCGTTCGTTGAATAAACTAATTGATTAAACCTGCTAGGGAATAAACTAGTTTTGGCTCATAGTCTTATGTTATTTAATTGACTCAATTATTTAATCGACTTGTTAAACGATCAATCTAAGAAGATAAACGTTCTCTTCCAGGCGGCAGTGAAAATGTCAACGACCCACCACATACGAAAGTTTGCATCAGCTTAAAACTTCTTTTCTTTAAAAATCCAAGTTTTCAGGGAGTTGCTAGTAACAGTTATAATGAAATAAAATTATAAGCAATTTATTAAATAACTAGTACAGCGATGTCCACTATAGGTATATCAAATTTAAATACAATAATTAAAATAATAAATTATTGACTTGTGTTATCTTTCTTTTTAACCAACATCTACTATTGAAAAAAAAACAAACCAATGTTTCCGAAGCGTTTTTTTTAGCAACAATGAAACAAAGATAAACACCAAGGTACAAAAAACTTTTCTGTGGGTTGTTCAAATTTGAAATACTTGACTCATGTGGGAATCTATCGATCTAAACACTTTTATATCACTTAGTAACTGTCTGTCCCTACAGTAACAGAGTCATCAATAAACGTAAGAAAAAATGCACAAAAAATAGGTGTGATAGGATTATTTTAGGTTAAAGCATTTAAAAAATGTAATGTTAGTAAATCATTCTGACAAATATCACAACATTTTATGGTGGGTTTAGAATTTTCGATGTGTATTAACTTATTTTGCTTTTCAGTGATTTTTTATATACTGAGCTGTTGGACACTCGCATAGAATTAATTAATCAGTTAATGTCATTGCACATTTGCGAAAACAAAAAAAAAATACATATACAAGGGTTTTTCACGAACGAGAACAAATCATTCCATTTTGCTTGTATACCACTGCCGATCTAGTGGCCATACAGTTTTTTCAAAAAATTGAAAATGATATATCACATATACTAACTGGCCCCAGTTGCTTTAGTATTTTTCAAGATGTAAAACGTGAAGTTTTATTGATGAATGAACAAAAACTTTCGGTGCTGCGGGGATTGAAACAGCATCCTCTAGATAAGGCGCGCAGATGCTTTACCATTTAAGCTAAGCGGCTGATTACCTAACGACTTGAAGATCTCGACATACATTTTTTTCTTATTACACGTTCTTTGTTGCATTATCATCATCAGTAAGTGCCATCTAGTTTGTATAGTTCAGTATGAAGCACCTAACAAGGAACATGTAACGATTAACATTAATTATAAGAAGAAACGTCGCCTTTGCTCTTAAATTTTTAGAATTAACATTTATTTTAGTGCTATTTTATGAACTCAAGATGAAACTTAAAATTTGTTTTATTTAGATAAATGACAATAAATTTTATTCAACTTGTAAAAAAAATTGTGTTAAAAATTTACATTCTTTAAACATCAATATTTACAGAGTTATTTAGTAAATTTTCCAAAACAAACAATTTTCGAACATCTACGTATAAAACTATAACTTGAATTTCATTTGTAAAGGTCACAAATCATAAATGGGTTGAATTAATTTAAAAGAGAGAAAACATACTGATAGATGGAGAGATTTGTAATGCGTCGCCTCGGCAACGAATGAAAAAGTCTCTGAATGTATGAATCAGTCAGTTATAGTTGTATGGGATGTTACAAATTTTGTTCCTTTTTTACGTACTTTGCTTGAAAAATATTTTTTTTTAATTATGGACTTTTTAACGTTTATTTCTTTATTATTATTGGCAAGTAGCGTTAGACGTGTGTTAATTTATTGTCGTGGTTGTAACAACACGCTGTATAATATATATATATATATATATATATATATATATATATATATATATATATATATATATATATATTATACAGTCTTTAAGTAAGTCTCTGTATACATAAATATATATATATATATATATATTTATGTATACAGAGACTTACTTAAAGACGAAGGATAAAGTTGGTTACTCTAACAATCGGCAAAATTGGCATTGTGACATTGACATCGCAGCATTTTCTTAAATGATACCTTGCTTGGTGCGTTTCTGATGAACTGAGGTTCCAGAGTAGTATAGCCTGAATAGTAAAAGATTTATGGAAGAAGCCAGAATAATGCGTCGGAGTACAGAGTATTCTACGGGCTGAAGAACGGAGTGCTCTTTCGTGAGTTAGAGAGAGATATTGGAATTTTTCCTTTAAGTAGTTATGAGAAGCAGGGTCATTAAGAATAGAGAAGAGAGTAAGAAGAATTCTAGAACTACGTCTTTGACGAATAGTAAGCCATTTAAGCTGGGAACGATATTGATATATGTGATCAAATTTACGTAAACCGAAAATGTGCAGTTATTGTGGAGACGCTCCAGCTTATTAAGGAAATCTTGGTTTAGATCCGAGCAGCAGACATCTGCATAATCCAAAATGGGTAAAATAAGGAAATTAACCAGAATAGGTTTGGTTTTGAAAGGAAGAAAATATTTTAAGCTATACAGAAAACGTAAGGTAGTAACGACCTTGCGACTGATCTCCTTGACGTCGACATTCCAGCTCAGAGAATTATCCATGTAAAGGCCGAGATATTTCACCGAGTCGTCAAAAGGTATTAATGTACCGCCTGGCATTTTAAAGGATTGATTGTAAGCTCATACTTATGTGACCAATTTTTCAAAACATTTAAATTGTTGTTAAGGTTAGAAACCGCATCAGTTCAACAAGACAACTGGTGCATCATCACATCCTACATTTATATTAATCAGCTGACCAAAATCGGCCATGTTTTTCATTATTATACATTTATCGAAAGATTATAGCAGGGACCTAGCGTAGCTTGTTTATATCAAAGACACTATCGGTGAGTTATAGAACGTTTTAGCGTTATAGAACGATTATGAATAAGTCTTTTTGACAATTTGTTCTTAGCGAGCTCTTAAACCTCCGATAACTTATTATGAATAAGACCATTTATGTTTAGTAGTGAGTGATTTAATGTTTCGGCTCATATGTTATTTGTGAATCTTTAATGTTGTAAGAATGCCGTGATACAGATCGTGAAATATACAGGGAGATTTTTTGTGAAGTGCCCAAATTTACACGGGAGGTTCAGACTCTGTAGTATAATCGTTTATTGAAATAGTTTTTTTTTCCAAAAAATGCCATTCTATTCCCTAAAAAACAGAACGTGTTGACAATGCGGTAGTCATTCATAAATACCTAAATTTTACTGTGCACGAACTTGTGTGCGTGTTAGTAATGAATGATCGCGCGTAAAATAAATGAGTTGCGTATAAATCACGCACTATTTGAGATAAGTTCAAATGAATGTAATTAATTACTTACGAGTTA